GTATAGCAATAGCACTTAGACTTATATACCACTTCATAGTGATTTACAGCCCTCTCTAAATGGTTTACAGAGTCAGCATATTGCCCCCAACAATCTGGGTCCTCATTTTACCAATCTGGGAAGGATGGAAGGCTGAGTTAAGATGCTTAAGATGCTCAGGATCAAACTCCTGGCAGTGGGGGCAGAGTTAGCCTGCAATACTGCTTTCTAACCACTGTGCCATCACAACTCTTCAATATACTTACTTTCATGAAGTAATCTAATTTTCTAATTCCAGGGCCCATTCTCACCTATGTATTCCAACATTTAGGTGTAACGTGAAGGTTAAGAAGGTAACATACTTGAACATAGGATTTTAACAGAATAAAACATGAAATAAATATCAAGAATCTCTATGGTTTTGCTGGGATTGGCATTTTCATGGACATAATGGATTTTGTGTGTGTAGTTTGTTATCTTTATGAGCTTCCTGTTGTTGGGTTATTTATAATAGTTTAAGGAAAGTAGGATATTTAATAATAGCTAAACCATAAGGGACAGACCAGTCAACAAATCTATTAATTGCATATAGAGATTTATTTGTAAAAGAATAAGGTTGCAAAGCTGTTCTTACTGAATTCTGAATATGGTTGCCATATAAAAATTCTCCTTAAAATAACAGCAATAATATTTAGTATAAAACTTTTTCCCAAAATTAATTTCAACAACTTGTTATGCCTATTTGAATGTCAAATGGGCAACCTACTAAGTTTACATTTCTTCTATGGTATTTATGCCAAGACAACAATTACTCAGACTTTCAGAAGTAATTCTGAATAAAGTAACCTCATGAAGACTCTGTAATCATAAAGTAGAAAAGGACTGCAGTCAGAAATTAAAGGCTAGGTATACAGTAAAGATAAACTTTAATCAAGTTGTAGTTTGTGCAGTTTGAAATATTCATTTTATTCAATAAAACACACATAACTGAATAAGATGTGAATTTTAAGAGGACTTTTTTAATGCAATGTGTAATCATTGTTTTCAATGGAATCCTAGTGGTAAAAATGTTTTTGACAACAAGAATAAAGCTATTACAGTGTAGGAGTTAAGGTGTTGGACAAGAATTGGGGAGACCCAACTCCCTGCAGCTCATTGCACGACTTTCGGCCAGTCACTCCCACTTGGACTTACCTCATAGGATTATTGTTGCTGTGAAGAAAATGGAAGATTTCTTGAACAATATGTGGGCTATAAATCTAATAGAAGTAAATGAATGAGTAAGTGGGTAAGTGAGTGGGTAGGTGGGTGGGTGAGTCAGTGAGTGAATAATATCAGTAAGCCCAAATCACATTTATTTGCCAAAACCATGTTGTATAGATATTCTGAATGTCACTTTTCCAATAAATTTGGATTGATGTCAGCTTCAGGATCATTAAAAATTGAAAAGAAAGCTTCACTGACTGCAGCTAGAATTTGCTTAAATCATTATTACCAATGTTAAAATTATTGTTTACAATAATAGTTCATGAAATGCAACATTGTTGGCCAGAAGATCAAGTCAATAATAGTTGCACATTGTTCTTGAACAAGAACAGTCCCGTTATCTTATGCTTAGTGAAAAAAGATCACTATTTTTAACCTACCTAGTGAAAAAATATTAACATTTTCAAAGAATGTATTCCTTCCTTCCCCCAACACATATAATCTCTCTCACTCTGTAAAACATACTGTAAATTAAATATCCTCAAAAGCTCTGTAAGATGCTTCATACCATGATAAAGCCTTTTCCTTTAAAGAAATGCTTTCAATGGTATTCTGTGATAAGAAGGAAATATTTAAATTTCTTACCTTGATATATACTGTATACACTAACTGTATTGAGGCTTATAAACACTTTTGTTATTGTTTGGAACTTCAGGAACAGTAGACTCAACCATTTCAGATGGAACACACATCTGTCTATTTCTGAACAGCCAAGGGCTATGTAGATAGTCCCAAGGTGCTAATTGAAAATTAGAAGTGTTTGAGGGAGGAGAAGTCTTCAAGGATGCCATCAATTATTAGTTTTGGTGGAAAGGCAGCAAAAAGTTATCTCCAAATTAAGAAAAAATAACATTCTCTTAAGATTACAAACAGAGGCTCTTCTAATTCTGTCAATCAACAGAGGACAACCAATTGCGCTAAACCTCAAAAGAAACATGAACATTTAGAGGAAGCTTGGGAGGAAATAAACATGAAAAAGCAACTAAGAATTGGTGAGCATGTTCTGCCTGAACCCCATTAACCTGAGATCTTAGATCGGACACAGGTTCCCGTTAGTTTAACTTCAGGTTAAAGCAGAAAACACTGTGAGCTGGAAGTAATTAGTTACTTATTTTACTATATGTACATTGGTACTACTATCCAGACATATCTCTATGCATCCATGCATGTGAAATCTACAACAGTAATTGAGGACATGAACTGTATTGTAATGCACTGGATAATTGTGTATATACTGGGTTCAAGTATGATCATATGCTGGATTTTCTAACTAAAAAAAGGCAGTATGTGTGCAGAAGCATTCAAGATCCAAATATTTAAAGATTTTAATAGGTAAGTTTCATAAAAGCTTGATACATACATTTAACAGCATTATGATCAATTCAGTCATTGATAGAGCAGCTTAGTGTACCAAGGGACCATCAACAGAATAGCTTTCTTCAAAATAAAAGCCTGAACACTTATCCAAAATGTACATAATTCAATAAATCTAGCAACTTCTACTGCCGGTTTTGAGAAAGAAGGGGGAAATGCTAATTCTTAAGTTCACAGAATAATGGCCAGTGTATTGTAACTGAAACAGTCCAATGAGTTTTATCTCAGCCATTCAGGGTGTACTCTAAAAAGTCTGCAGCTTGTTAACTTCAAGGAGGATGGCAAAATTGAGAAAGGTGACTTTCAGCACATAAGGGTTGTTTTGGGGATATCTGGTAATGTGAATTTCTTTTGCCTTTTATCAGCCCTATAACTGAGACTTTTGTGTGTGTGTGTGATCCTTGACCATTAACATCTATCTGCTGAATTTGTTTAACAAATAAGCCCTGTAATATGTCCCCTTCTTCACTGCCATCACAAAATACACATTCAATTAAGCAAATGAATTTACAAGCTACCACTATTCTGTCTTCCCACCCCCTTTCCAATGTTAGCTGGCTATTAAAATGCAAATACAATGGGCTCATTAGCTGACAAACAACAGCCCTGCCTTTCTCTAACACAGAGAGATTTCTCTCCATTTTAAAAATATGAAACAAATCTCTCTCTTACATCACTTGCCATGTTGTAGTATCAGATTTTGCATCTGCATATGCTCACTGTGGAAGAGGGAGGGAGGAAACACTCAAAATGAGATCATTAAGAGTGAATGTGTCTGTAAGCCTCAGTTCAGTTCCCTTCCTTCCTTATCTCCAACCCCCATAAACAGTCACAAAAAGAATACTGTACCCATGATAGAGAGCTGAATCCACATTTTCCCCCCCTCTTCACAAAGCTGACCTGCACATAAATTAGCTTTGGAGAAAACTTAGCTCGATTGAAACAATGTTATAAAGGCTTCCATTACAGGTCCGAAGTATCACTGAAGAGGCGGCTGGGATTCTTTTTCAGTGCTAAAATGAAGCATTTTTGAATGGAGCATTCCTTGCCAATATTATTTATGATCCTGGAGGTTGCCAGGAGGCGATCATTATTGAGGGATGTGTGTTTCTCCGTGTTTTTTTTTCTGAAGCTCCACACGGAAACAGGCCAGCAGTTATTATGACAGAATAGTAATAGCCATAATATAGATAATGGGGACGATTACTGTTCAGCGGAGGGGAGGGGCACGCTAATGTTTCCAATTCTTTCCAATTCTCTTCTTCTCTGCTAGGAAGGATGGCACCTCAGTTTCCTCAAGCGCGCTGACCTTCTATCTAGTCCTCAAAACTACACAACCCCCCCCCCTCTTTTCTTCCCTTCGGCCCCCCCCCCCCCCCTCCTTGTACTGCGCCTGTCTTTGTGTCTGCTTGTCACTCACCGGTAAATCAAAATGAAGGTGCAGTCAGGAAAAATACAAACCCAGGAGAAACGTTTGTATATATAATAATATTAATTTTTAAAAAAAATTCGCCCAGCCAACCCGCTTTCTGCCCCAGCAAACAGAACGCTCGAGATACTTTCTCTCAGAAAGAGTTCGCCTTCTGCTGAAAGATCACACACCCGCCACTTCAAAAAAAACAAAACAAAACAAAAAACATCCCGATAAATTCTGAAAAGTTTTGTCCAGCTCACCCAGCCATTGATTTCTCTGCCCCCGTCCCGTCCGTCCGTCAGTCCGTCCGTCCCGTCCCCCCGGTTTCTTTTAAGCTACCATCCACAGTGCTCCTACACACACCCCACTTAGGAGACGCTTCCCAGAATAAAGCCGAGAAGTCCGCACGTGTGAACGAGAAACGTATATTTAAAGGGCGGAGGAAAGGAAAGAAGGCAGAAAGAAAGGAGAAGCGCCAACTTAAATAAAAAAAAACCCCCCAAGAACTTTCTTAAAATGACAAGAGTGACTTCACTGGAAACGGACGGGAATAATCAGCTACCCCCTCCGGGTTTGCAGGAACAAGGGCTCCGGAGCAAAGTTCTCCAGGCGACGGGCGGCGCGTCCAGAAAAAAGGGGGAAGAGAAACGCGCGAGCGAGCGAGGAACCTCTTTTTAAACCTTCGCTTTAAAAAAAACCCTATTTGACAGCCATGTTCCTATTTGACACCAATAATTTTCTCTCCTCTCCTCTCGCCCCCTCCCACCTTTGTACTTTAGTACTGCAAGGCTCGGAGAGTTGAGTGGGGGGCTTCCCACTCAACTCCTCCCCCCCAAAAAAACAGTCTTTAAGTCATGCCACAAAGCTCGACGGATAACGCTGGGAAGGGAAAGGCTGGAGAAGGCAGGATGAATGAGAGAGAGAGAGGGAGAGAGAGGGAAAGAAAGAACGCGAGAAGGACTCTGACCTCCTTCGGCAGTCCCTCCGCCTCGCCGACTCCAGCCAAAGCAATCTGGTCTGCCTTCGATCCAATCCTAAAGGGCAGCCATCTTGCTTCCTTCTGCTCCTTTGCGAAAGCAGCCTTGCCTCCGCATCAATATTCATAAGGCCGTTTTGACGTCTGTTCTCTCATCACTCGATGAAGCCCCAGCGACGCTCCCACTGCCGGACGTGACTGCCATGCGAACGAGTTCCCAGACCCACCGGCGAGAGGAGGGAGAGGTGGAAGGGGACGATCCGCCGCTTCTGCCGGCTCCGGGGCGGGCGATAGGCCGGCCTCCGCAACTGTCCCCCTTGGGTGGGTGGAGTGTGTGTGTGGGGGGGGGGGACGAGTCCCTTCTGATGCGTTTGCCCAAGGAAATCCAAGAACTACTTCCCGGGAAATCTTTTTAATGGGGATGGGAATTATTTCACACACTTGTCCCGTCCAGGGTTAGGGTGCACAGTAGACTCTCTAGTGTTGTCTGTGTAGGTGGAAGTGGGGTGTGTGTGTGAAGGTTGCCGTAAAGCTGCGGAGTTTGCAAAGTTTAGGGCGGAGAAATAGCTTGGAAAAGGGAGATACGGCCAGAGGGGAGACCGGTCTTCCGAAAACGAGTGCTGGATGAGCTTTCAGCAGCGGGAGACAGTTGCAAACAAAGGGCTCAAAACAAGGAGCTGTCATTCCTAACAGATGTTGTTTCCTGGTGGGCGGGAGGGGTGCGGGCGTGTGTGGGTGTGTGGGAAACACGCATCCTCGCTCCCTTTAAGCAGAAGGAAGCTTTCACAATGGCTCGCTGCCGAGCGTCATCCCACTCGCAAGCCCCGCCCTTCAAATTTCCATAGTCGGCGCTCATTGGTGGCGAGAATCTCCGGGAGAACTGGGGGGTCTCTTTTCAAAGGTTGCCTCGGAACTTCCCCAAAGTTGATGAGGTCTCGCTTAGCGTAGTTCCTTGCGACTTAGCTGCGCCGGTTGAATGGCACACGCGTCCTTTTGTGCCACTTCCCTAATCTCTATACATTCCCCTCCCTCTCGCTCGCCCCTACTACCCCTGAGTGGAAAGGACACCCCCGTCGCAAAACTTTCTTTCCAAAACGGTTTCATCGGAAACCCAGCGTGCATTTTGCTGGGTTTCCCAGCCAAATTCGCCAAAATGCATTTCAGAATGCATTTTGGCGAATTTAACATTCTAAAACCCGGAAAAATAGATTTGGGGCGTGAGGGGGTGGGGGGGGGAAGAGAGGTTTAACTATTGTCTTTCATTGAGCAGAAAGTCCAATGTCGGTGCAGAGAATGACAAGCTGGCAAAAAGGGTATATAGGGTAAAAAGTTTGGGGTTCCTGTTGCCAGCAATCCTTGTTTAGAACTGCAAGTTGATATTAACAATTTCTTAGCAGTAACATACAGTCGATTATAACTTTAAGAAGATAAAGAAAATGAAATAATAGATTTCGGTCCAAATGGTCCACAAAATGTTCCGGTGTTTTGTATTAGAATGCTTCTGTGGTTTATTTTTAATTGTCTATCAAACCTGAGCAGAGAAGTGGTATGGTGTAGAGATCTTTCCACTATAACAATTATTAACTTTGTATAGACATAGTAGCATTGAAACACAATAATGGAGATAAACATTGTAACAGGAATGACTACTATTTTATAAATTGTTGGTAAGTGTTCTTTTGAGATTTAATAGATTTACAGCACAATCTCACAGCTACATGTCTGGGAATACACCAAACTTTTTTCTGAATATATCGATCTAAGGTGTGCTATTGATACTTTGCTACAGAAAATTACAAGTAATGCTGTTGTAATAAAATTACAACGGATTATGTATTATTCTGCAAAGATGGAAAACAGTGGTAGACAACATCCCATTTTGGACAGTCACACAATCTTTTGTAAAGACAAAAATTTCTGGAAAGAGAGCACCACGCTGCCTATTCTTCAACTAACGTTTGGATATGGTGAGTTTAAAAAGTCAAATCCACGAAAGTTGTTCCAGGCTATATAACTTCATATTTCTAGGAGTAAGTTTTAATGAACTCTGTAGGATTTACTTTTGACTGACATAAATAGAAAAGGGTAAACATTCACTGCCTAGAAGCAGTCCTAACAATAACCACAACATGTTGTCCTATAGTAATGTTATGTGCCTATAGATTTTTCAAAAAGTGATTGCTATGAGATGCAGAATTTCCTCTATTCTGTGTTTCAGAAATAGTTTGAATCTTGATGACTTCAGGAATAGATCCATACAAATTTATTGGCAATAATATAGTAGTAGGTTTATTTTTATTTTTTTTTACTTCTCAGGCTAATCTAGAGCAAGGGTGTCAAACTCAAAACAACATATTGTTGTCACATGATGTATTGCAACTTTCCCCCCCCCTTTGCTAAAATGGGGGTGGGGGTGGCCAGCATGTGACACATCTGGCCCATGGGCAGTGAGTTTGACACCCCTGATCTAGAGCCCAATGAGTCCCACAAGGTCTTCCCTGCAAGTATTAATCAGGTGTAACCCTCCTTAGCTTCCAGCCGCAGACAAGGCTGGCCAGGGCTGCTGTCCACTAAACCATCCTGATTTATAAAAACCTTGAAATTAACATGGCTTGCAATTTCCTAGGACAATTTAGGCCACTGCATATATTTTATGATTAGGAAGGTAATTATAGAACATCCTTGTAAACATGTACAAATAATTCTGTGTCTGAATCTGCCATTGTTATGTTTTTCACAGACTTTAATAATCCCAGGTTTAAAATTCAGCATTATTGTTCAGGTTTTATTTTCAAAAGGCTGCATATGCTGCAACTCAATGAAAAGTATAGGAATGCCATTTGACAGCACAATTCATTATCATTATCATCATCCTGAATCAATCCCCTTCAGGATGAGGTTTCTTTACTAAATATTGTATACTATAATCTATTAACATAGTCCAGGGCAAACTGGGAGGTAGATGCTTTATTTCTTCCCAGTCTATGGCTGAGAAACAGCAACTGACCCAATATCACCCAGTCTCACCTGTATGTCTTGGTTTTCTTGTTCCTATCTAGAGTTTTCCCCTTTATATCACACTGACTTTCACAACTGAAGTATGATTAGAAAGATTTTTTTAAAAGCACTAACTTATTTTAGCGAACTTGCTACAATAATCCCCTGTCCAAGATAGGAGACCTTATTGTATTCTGGATAAATGGCTGTCTAATCTTTTCTTGAAGACCTCCAGTGATGGAGCACTCAAAACTCCAGCAGGCAAGCTGTTCCAATGTTTAATTGTACTGTCAGGAAATTTATTCTTCGTTCCAGATTGGATCTCTCTTTAGTGAGCTTCCACTCATTGCTTCTTATGCTGCCTTCAGGTGCTTTGGACAGTAAGTTGATCCCCTTCTCTTTGTAACAGTCCCTCAAATACTGGAAGAAAATGAAGTCACTCCTAACCATTCTTTTCTCTTTGCTTTCTGTATTTGTGTTTATTACGTTTACTAAAATGATCAGTAGAATCACCTCTTCCTCATGTTCGAAGTCTCTGCCAGCCCTGATCTCTAACAGGTGGTTCTTGTCTGTCTGGAATCTTCTTTGGCTTTCTTCCAACTTGGAAAGGAGCCTATTCTCCTTTCTTTGCCAATGTTTCTCCATCTATGCCATGACATCTGCTGATCCTTTTTGTGCCTTCCCCCCTCCCATCCACAAAGAAGCAGCTGCTGATCTGTGTAGCCTGCAGTTCATTTTTTTAAAAAACCACATACTTCCTATAAAACATGATAGAGTTTTGTTTTGCTATATAATGAAAGAAAATGCAAACGTTCACCTATTTTCTCTTTACTTTTGAAAAGCAGAACATGACTGCATTCTTGAAATGCTTATTCTATAGGTGTGGCCTGGTTATTTTTGAGAAGGTTTTCTGGTTAGAAAAGCAACAAATCTTACTGCTTAAGAGTTGATAAAGCTACATTAGCCCGACTAGCAGAATATTATCTCACAACACACATTAATCTTTGAATACAAAGTGTATGCCTTATGCTTTCCTGAAGTAGTTTGATTCCAAGCTGATTTCACATATTTTGATCAATATATCTACATTTCCTTCTCACCACATCCTTAAGGACCCAGAAATATTATAGGTAAAGTATTTCATTTTTGCTGAAGCTTATTCAGACCCTCACATTAAGTGTTCAATGAAAAGTCTTCCCTGCTTACTTCCAAACAGCAGTACGCCACAGAACTACTTTGAGTGTAGAGTAGCCTTAGATAGCTTACAAACTAAGCTCTTTTGTTAACACATTATATCATGCATAGAAGTATGTCACAGCAGAATGTAAACCTTGACCAATCATATCCTTCCACGTTTGAATCATTCAGAAATGCTGACTAATAAGTGAAGATATTCAGCATATTTTAAATATTGCACCACAAATTAAGCTGAAATGATGCCAATGTATGTTGTTAAACACATTTACCCTTCAAAATTTAAATGTATTTCCATTTTTTAAAAATCACTGCCAAGAATGTTTTCATTAGACAGTTGTTAAATATGTCTGTCAATATCTAGTCATGAATCTACTTAGAAGGTTCTAATGAGTTCATGAGGACTGACCTCCAAGAAGGGATGTGTAGAATCTCAGCCTAAACTACTGTAATAAAAATTAATAATTCTGGAATTGACATCCATAGAAGCTTGCATAGGACTATATTTTAAATTATGTCATTTTGCTTATATGCAGACAAATTATTTGCTATTGAATTAACAGTCAGGCTACACAATAAAATTAATCAATAGAATTAATAATATTAATACTTTACAAATACATATTACATGTTCTCTTTTTTTAAAGTTTGATTTATATGCCGCCCTTCTCCAGAGACTCAGGGCGGCTTACAATGCGTTAAGCAATAGCCTTCATACTTTTGTATATTTATACAAAGTCAGCTTATTGACCCCACAATCTGGGTCCTCATTTTACCTACCTTAGAAAGGCTGGAAGGCTGAGTCAACTTTGAGCCTGGTGAGATTTGAACTTACAGTAATTGCACACAGCTTGATGTTAATAACAGTGCTTTAGTCTGCTGCGCCACCAGGCTCCCTCAGCCTAATTCTTTTGGGAGAATGAGAGTTTCATGATCTGAAATTTTGTTATGTATTTGTAAAATGCTAATATTAATTCAATTGAATAATTTGATTGTGTAACCTGACTGTTAATTCAATAGCAAATAATTGGTCTGCATATAAACAAAATGACATAATTTAAGATATAAGATTTAAAACAAGATGGATTGACAACATCAGTAAGTATTGCAAGCCCAATTGGCAAAAAAAAAAAAAAAAAAAAAAGCTCAGGACCATATTGATTGAAAACATGCAGAAGAGGCCTTCATCCTGCAGTGTATAAACAACGGCTAAAATGAAACATTCACATCTAATGAATACCAAAAGTATTTGGTCTGTCATTGGCTGAGCAGAATCACAATTTGCCATATACTGTATACTTATGGGGGGGGGGAAATCTAACTCTTCCTTTGCAGCAATTTTTAAATACTTTCTGACCTTTTAAATGATGCTGAACAACAATTTCTAGTGTTCTTCATCCCTGATCGTATTTTTCAACAATCAATGGGTGGCCCTAAGTTTGTAAGTCAAATAATAATGATAATAATAAAACAAAATTGGAGTATCTCATCACTTGTTCTTTGCTTAATTTTTCATCTTTCCCTATCCAATAACATTTATATGTGTTGGAAGACATCATCTCCAGTTAAGATGCTGATTG